TGCAGATGAAAGCCTCTATCTGCAGCGGCAGTCAAAGCTTATGCAGCACTGCGCCCCCTTCTATAGCTCGAGAAAGGCTGGAGGAGCAGCGAGCGCAGACTGAAATATTGTCGAGAATGACAGACAGCCAAGCTAAATTCCAATCGGATTTAACGAATACCTAAAATTTAGAATAAATAGGCCAATTAAAAAATAAAATGATATGTGATATTATAAATGGCCAGATGCAGTTGTGGAAAAATCTATCAGCGTTTGGAAAAATCTAAAGGCAGAGTCCCCAATAAGCAGCACCGACACTTGAACGCCACAAATATGCCTTGCTTTTTCGTGAAGAAACGGAGAAGACACCATTTTCCTTGTCAGGCTCGACTTTTGAAATATAGTGGAGTCGTTGCAGCGCCCAGCAGAGCCGAAGTTTACATAGGTAAATCTGTATCTGTAGTAAATTTAAAATACAATGCGTTTAGAACAGCGGTCGGAACACACAAACCATCACAAGTTTACCTTGCATTAGTGTGAGTGAAGCCTGACGTTTGTCTGTTTTGCACTCAGAATCTCTGCCGCAGCAGCAAAAAAGCGCGCTGAAGCTGAGAAAAAAATGACCCAAAGACCCATACCGAAGTCATACGAACATCTACGTTATACGTGAGCAAGCAACTGATGGGCAGAATAATTCCCTATGCTCACTTAAAAGACCGCTGCCGACCGCTGGTTTAGAAGATTGTTGAGCTCTTAGAAGAAGGCAGTTTACCTGTAACCCATGAGAGCGAATAGTAATATTGATTACCAGCCTTTGTAGTTGTGGTCCAAAAAAAAGTTTGCCACGCCCACTCTAACTCCCACAAACCGCGTAAGCCAGTGGCGACCACAATTTTCATGCTCAAAAAAATGTTAACTGAAATGTATAAGTCTCGTCAACACCTATCGATTGACCCCAAAAAAAGTTTGTCACGCCCACCCTAACGCCCATAACGCCTAAATCTGTCTATCAATCTTATTTCAATCTCGCTTTACTGCTTCTATATCTCCATTTCCCTTTGGTTCCTTTAGCTTAGTAAAGGGTATCTGATAGTCGAGGTACCCTTTTACTATACGAGTAACGGGTATAAAAATTAACATAAATTAAATAAATTGAAGTCAAAAATTATTATTATTAATGATTAGTTTTAATAAATTTATGAACATGAGATCTAAGTAATGCGTAGAATTATGGAAGCCTTGCTCACCTTTATGGAGCCCAGGAAATAAAAGGAAGTGAGGACTTTAGGGATCGCCAGCCGTGGGCATGCGAAAGGTGATCATGGTAGGGTGAGGATTAAGACACTGAATAACATCACAGCTTTCTATACTTGAATGTTGTTCTTTTTACATTTATTTCAACTTTTCCTATAACAGCACGCGATATTAATTTTATTAAAATGTGTATGAAGTTGAGCCTTAAGCTTAGTACTCAGATCGGCTAAGAGTTTCACTAGTCGAAAAATCTTATTCTTTGTAGTGTGACCGAGGTTTTCAAAGTTCACACGCAATGCATATAGCATGGTCTTACTGTCAAGCAGATGGTTTTGTTGCCAAACGGAAAACAAACCAATAAGAGAAATTTAAAAAGGAGGAGTCTGCTGGTATACAAAAAAATTTTAATTTTAATGCTTCGCCATCTTTCCCGCTCCACCGCAGTACAGCTCCGAGTCCCAATAGGCATATTGGACCTTGAGGAAGTGGGAGAACGGTGTTGATCCGCTGATACTGCAGGAAGTCGTCCAGGATCCTGGCAGTGGCTGGCTATGGCTTCTCCAACTGTTCCTTAGCGGGCGCCCTATTTTCCTCCTCCCTATAGAAGCCAGAGGGAGCTGGATCCGCCTAAGCTGCCAAGTAGCTGGTGGTGGTGGTGTCCGGAGTCCTAATGGAGAGGTCGTCGGATATCGTATTCCTGGTGGTTCTGCTAAAAAGATACTTATATTAGTACAACGCAACCAAGATCTTTTGGACAGATCTTACTTTCTTTGCGAGGACGCGCCCGGTAGGATGTCCATGTAGAGATTTAAGTCCCACTCGGCATATTCCTTCCCACTGGGATTCTCTAGTGGATCTCCTACAGCACTTCAACTATTCTGAGAATTTTACCCTTTTGTGGAATTGCTTCCTGTCGGTGAAATCCCACAATAAAGGGCATAAGCTTGGATTTGGCGTCCTATTACATCTGCACTGACTTCCAGCATCCGATATTGAGGTTTTCCTTCCATTTTTAATTTTTAGTTTCCACATTGCCTTTACACGAACTCCGCCAAAGATTGAATTTCTTATTTTTTGGGCCGCGGCTCATGGCGTTCAACGAAATTCACTCGCTAAATCTGGTATTTCTTCTGATATTTCCCTAGCTTATCTGAGTACCGCGCTGAAAAACAGACCCGACGAAAAGCGTTACCCGCGTATTTGCCTCTCGCTCACTCCTATGGTTAGCTCGCGGTTTTCGTCGATCTGAGTACAAGGCTTTAAAATAAAGATCAGTGATTTCTTCCCACCCCCACTACCGAACTGAAAAGCCGGATCAAGCGCCTGCTTCGCTGCTCTCTCTGTTAATTACCATCAGCGCCCTGTATGCTATCAACGTGACATGCTACAATCTCTTACTCTTATCCACAAAGTAAATAGAAATAATCGAACTTGAAAAACACTCACTTGCTTCCAAAAACGTCTTAAATAACTCTTGTTTAACAATTCTTGAGATAATAAATAACTATAAAAAAGAAGGATATTGTGTAAGGCACGGCACATTAAGTAAAATTTTATTGTGATACATATGATCATCGAGTAACGTATGTTACTCAGTTCCACAATTTAGCACTGGCGCAAAGTCTGGCCGACTGGTCGACTCTCCCTCGCTCAATTTTTTTCTTTAAGTATTATAGTGCTGAGAAGGTGCTGCATTTGCTGATGAAAGAGTTATTTAGTGATAGGATCGCTGAAAGAGTAAAGAATTTGTGCCAGATTTGTGCAGTGATGAATCGTAGGACATGCCTTTGTTAAATTAATTTCTTCTTATACAAACCTTTTTTTGCAAAAAAAAAAGGGTTGGTGATGATCTGATTGTAGTGATTAGCTGCAAACACTTTAAAGCAAAGGCCAACCTTTCTGAAGAAACGCCCACGGTCTGACCGTGACAAACTTTTATTTTTCCAAATATAAATAATCGGAAAATTTTTCGATATTTTGGTTTAATAAATAACGCGATATTTTTTTAGAGGAAGAGTATATGAAGTATAAGCGTAGACTAGATTCGTCGGAAAATACGGAACATGTAAGAGAAAGCGTTTCCGACTCCATAAAGTATATATGTTCTGGATGAGGATTACCAGCCGAGTCGATCTAGCCTGTCCATCTATCCGTTTAAACGCTGTGATTTCGGAAATTATAAAAGCTACAATATTGAGATTAGACTGCGCAGTGGAAGTTTGTTTCAGCAAAATACTGCGCCCACTCTAACTCTAGAACACAAATTTGAAATTTAATGTTTTGTAGTTACATGGCTATCGTCAATACCTATCGATTGACCTAATATGCCACGACCACTCTAACACCCACAAACCGCCCAAAACCGTACGTATGTACTCTGATATCTCGGAAATTATAAAAGCACGACAGTTGGAATTATAGCGTCTTCCCACAGAGATCGATCCACCATTTACCATCCGTTGAACGGATGGTCCATAAGGTCTTGCCGTTCCGAAAATTTTTCAGTTAGTTCCCCGTCCAAATTTGACGGACTCTTGTATGCGATAGTAAGGATGGACGAACGGATGGACTTTATGGGAAGGGGGTTTTAGGCACATACATAGTTTCTAGAGACTTATACGTAGCACAAGAGCATTTCACGCCCACTCTAAGGCCCAAAACTGTGGCGACCACAGTTTTAATGCTAAAACTTAAGCAGAAATGTATTGGTTTTGTCAAAACACTCGATTTTCTGCTTTCATATCTTAGTCTCCCTTTCGCGCCCCTTAGCTGAGTATCGGTTATCTGCATCTGATAGTCGAGGAACTCGACTACCTGGTTAATATGTACAGTGACGAACTTAAGTGTTGGCACACTTAGCATCTTGAACTTCAAGTGCGCTTTTCTACCTTTATAAATGTGTTATAAAATTCAACAAAATTATTTTCGATAATGGTAATATATAACACTCAAATTAATTTTGTTTCATTGAATTATCTCTTAAAACTAAATTTTAAAAATTAAAAAACCAAAATATGAGCCGATTTAGTCGCACAAAAGTCTTGGCACACTTGTGTTTTTGATAACTTTTTCGTTAAAACTTAGCCGATTTGTTTGCTTTTTTTTACCAAATCCGGTTTGTCTCTATATCTTAAGTGGTATAATGCTAAATTAGTATCATAAAATCAATTTAGTACCTTAAATTACACCAAAAATTGTAAAAAATTAAAAAAAATAAATACCCTTATCTCTGCGAAAAATAATATTTTATTTTAAGGATCAGGGTCAGTTTTATACTGACATTTGTGAATGGGTGCCCTGAAGCCGATTTTATCGTTGGGAGCCTTTTACGCTTCCCTGGCCACTCAAAGCTTTGTACCGTTTTATGAGCCATGCATTTTTCCATGGTTAAAGTCCTTTAGAACGCCGTAAAAGGCTCCCAACGATAAAATCGGCTTCAGGGCACCCATTCACAAATGTCAGTATAAAGCTGACCCTGAACCCTAAAAAAATATATTATTTTTCGCAGAGATAAAGGTATTTTTTTTTAAATTTTTTATTTAACCATTTTTGGTGTAACTTAAGATAATAAATCGATTTTATGATACTAATTTAGCATTATACCACTTAAGATATAGAGACCACATCGGCTAAGTTTTAACGAAATAGTTATCAAAAACACAAGTGTGCCAAGACTTTGGTGCAGCTAAACCTGCTCATATTTTGGTATTTTCATTTTTAAAATTTAGTTTTAAGAGATAATTCAATGAAAAAAATTAATTTGATTGTTAAATATTCCCATTATTCAAAATAATTTTATTGAATTTTATAACACATTTATAAAGGTAGAAAATCGCCCTTGAAGTTCAAGATGCTAAGTGTGCCAAACTTAAGTTCGTCACTGTACATACATATGAAGTTGTTGGATCTGCGTGATATTTCCAAAAGCAGGTCATTTATTTGTAATATTTTAGATTAATAAAACATGTTATGAATAATAATGTTAAAACAGTTATTCAAACTGGTTAATTAAAATTTTTAATCGCGGAAAAAGTTGGGCCGTGGAATGATAATTTGGTGCTGACCATATACGGCTCCAGTTTTTTGCCGCCTAAGCCTTGTAATTTATTTATCGTAGTAAAAAATTGTTTGGGGAGTCACAGTAATCTCTTCAGGCGAAATTCAAAATTGATGCTTATGTATGTACATTTTCCCCGAATTTCGCCCAAAGATCTTTCTGAGACCCATCCGATTGTTTCACCGGAGCAATCATTTGACTGACGCAATGTGATTTCCTATTTTATGGACCAACAAAAAGGTTTCTGTGCAATAAGAAATATGTTTCCGGCTCGAAAGACATTAGTAATTGATGTATTTTATATAAGTTTTGACCGCACCTCAAGCCGTCGCTGCATAGGCGATCGCTGCATTGCTTCTGAAATTACTTGCCAAAAAACCGAACCATTTCTAGCGTGCTTCCAACGGTTTTCCATTTGTATACTACGAAAAGGAACCCAATTTTGGGATTCGCAGACCCTACACTGTGAATTTATATTAAGCCAGTTCTCTGCACTTTCTAGCGATGAAATCAATCGGAGTTTTCGAAAGTTTCTCTTAAATGGTAGATTAGGTATGGGTTGATGACTCAAATAAATCGTTGTCGTAACCTCTTCTGAGCAGTTCTGTTTCTTAAGTTTCAACAGTTCCTTTTCCACGTTTAATAATAAAGCGGAGACATCGCCATTAATAACAGAAGTGGCCGAAGTGGTAAGTTTTAAACTATTTGATGGTGCAGTATTTACTCCGCGGTGCCATAACGTTCCTGGAACTTGACTGGCTATAAAAAAGGCTCCTGCCACAGTAATTACACTTGCTGCATAGCTCATTGCTAGTACTGATAAACTGTTCACCAGCAATTTCGTCCAAGCCAAGCTGGGCAGCATCAGCGCCAGCTCACTGTAAGTAAGCCATCCTCTCCGCAAACCCTGGCGTTTGGCCAGCGATCGTTCAATATTGTTTAGTTTATCGAAAAAGAGTTCATTGGATATGTATACATTCCAGTCCTAAAACGAACATATTTTATTATTGTAACATAATCTAAGTACTATTTACCATAGCAGATAGGAACTCAAGCTCAATTTCCTTGAGTCTTTCTTCCGTCATATGGCCTTCACTAGCCCAGTCTTCCAAATAAAAACGTTCGTCATGGCCTGAATAGAACTTAGTCGAAATCATCTGTAAATATATGTAATGTTTATACAGCCGAAATTTAAACATATATTGGTGCAGCACTGTTTGATTTTGGCACCGGTTAATCAACAGGTGTTGATGCTGGCTTACCAGTGACACAACAAACAGCTCTTGTGGAGTGATTCGGCAGCTATAACCTGGATCGGTGACGCTTAAGCGGTCCAGGTAGATCAATGCCATAATAAGAGAGCATGGCGTCGCCTGCACATTTCCAGCAGCAACGCAACTCAGACGATGCAAGGAATGACCCCGATGGGGTTTTGAAAACATCTCTGACGCGTACTCCGCAAAGGGCAGAGAGACCTCCATATCTGTGTCCACTGTTCCCACGCCATAGTATAGGCTTTTTCGAATTCGATTTATAAACTCGACGTGCTTCATAACCTATCAATTGAAAATATCAAGTAATACCTTTAATTTTCTGGTGCACAAACATATCTGCTTCCTACCTTTTTCGGAGAATTTACCATCTTTATCTTTGTTGGCCTTTATTTTGACTTCCAGCAACGTGACCGCAGCAATAAGTATAAAAAATACCACTCTTAAAATAAATACCATAATATTTCAAATGTCATAAGAATAATTTCAAGTATGTTCTTTATATAAACAGTCTATAATTTATTAGTTAAATAAACAACAGATTCTGTATATTACTTAATTTATTTATTTAAATTTTGAAGCCGAAAAATCTTATTATTTGTAGTGTGACCGAAGTTTTCAAAGTTCACCCACAAAGCATGTAGCATGGTCTTACTGTCAAGCAGCTGGGTTTGTTGACAAACGAAAAACAATTCAACTGGAGCAATTTAAAAAGAAGAGTCTGCTTGCACAAAGAAATTAACATAAAAATAAATGGAATTCGTGCGAAACGGATATGCGTGGATTTTTTGCAGTTGAATTTCAAAGTTGTGTGTCTTGTATATTGGCTATTTTATAGTGTTTGGTATATATCGGTATATCTCGGCATTTTTGCGTATCGTTGACGACGATCTCCAGAGAAATATACAAAAACAGCTGTTCTGGCACAGCATAGGCACACGATCATAACATATCAGGACTGGGGTGTAAACAGATGGTTTGGGCGTAGGCACCCGATGATTATGATTAACGAGATTAATTGGAACAAAAATGTATTAAATCCAGCCTAGTACTCAGATTTAATATTTGGCGGTGTTCGTGCAAAGGCGATGTGGAAACTAAAAATTAAAAATGGATGGAAAACCCCAAAGTCGGATTCAGGGTGTTAGAGTAGATGAAATAGGAGGCCAAATCCAAGCTTATGCCCTTTATTGTTGAATTTCTCCGACAGGAAGCAAGTCCACAAAAGGGGCAAATTCGCAGAATAGTTGAAGTGCTGGAGGAGATCCACTAGAGAATCCCAGTGGGAGGGAATATGCCGAGTGGGACTTAAATCTCTACGTGGACATCCTGCCGGTCGCGCCCTCGCAAAGAAAGTAATATCTGTCCAAAAGAATTTGGTTGCGTTGTACTAATAGAAGTATCTTTTTAGCAGAGCCACCAGGATGCAGGGCGGCTTCCTGCAGCATCAGCGGATCAACCCCGTTCTCCCACTTCCTCAATGTCCAATATGCCTATTGGGACTCGGAACTGTACTGCGGTGGAGCGGGAAAGATGGCGAAGCATCCGTGGGACGAGAAGGAACCTTTAAACTACTAATTTTCATAAATGAAAACATTCGTTGTACATTCCATTTATTTTTATTTAAATTTATTTGTGTACCAGCAGACTCCTCCTTTTTAAATTTCTCCATTTGATTTGTTTTCCGTTTATCGACAACCCCAGCTGCTTGACAGCAAGACCATGCTACATGCATTGCGGGTGAACTTTGAAAACTTCGGTCACACTACATTGAATAAGATTTTTCGACTAGTGAAATAGAGCTGTAAAAACATCGATAGTGCCCCTACTCGATGTTTTCGATAGTGATGGACTATCGGTATTTTCGACAGTATCAATCGAATTATTATTTAATTTTTTATTTTGTATTTTAAGCCTATTTGCTTTCAATTTTTTTAATTGCGAGGTATGAATACAGCTGCGACAAAAACCATACAATGTATTAAACTATTAAACACACATAACAACAAATAGGTTAAACATTTAAAAGATTTTGATTATAATAATTACTTATATATTTTTTTTTATTCATAAGTTAGAAAACTTAAAAATTCTCGTATGCTTTAAAAAGTCGTTATAAGCCATTATCGTTTGCCTTCTGATGCTAAAATCGAGAACATTAAAACTATTAATGAAAAACCAAGCACATTTCATAAACATGTTTTTTTTATTGATTACTTGTCCATTTTTCTCTTTTCATAAATTTTTCGTTTTGTCTGGAACCACGCTTCTGCAACTAGTGATGTTAAATAAACGCGATACATCGATGGTGGAAAAAAAATCGAGGTATCGCGCAGCCCAGCCACTATCGATACTATCGATATTACTATCGATGTTTTTACAGCTCTAAGTGAAACTCTTAGCCGATCTGAGTACTAGGCTTCAAGGAGGAATTTGTATATATGTTAAAGACATTAAAGAGCCTTGCGACAGTAAAATTAGATGTAGGTGCTTATATGAATTTGATAAACAATTAATGAAAACGACTCATGACATATTCCATCAATAAATTAGATTAATGTCAATTTTAATGATAGATTCCTGAATCCTGTGCTCATACGCGGCCACGCAGACGCTTTCAAATACTGACAAAACAATTGCTTCAGCTCTGTATTTAAAATCATCGAAATCAACAATTGACATAACCCGATAATTAGGGTAAGCCCAGTGTGAGCACTTTTTCGGGCTATTGGCCTTATCGATGTCAAGGCCTTTAAGTCTAGTACTCAGATCGGCTAAGAGTTTCAAAAGTCGAAAAATCTTAATCCTTGTAGTGTGACCGAAGTTTTCACAGTTCACTGATTTTGTTGACAAACGGAAAACAAATCATGCTGATGCACAGCAATCAATTTTAAATAAAGATATATGGAAATGTTTTTATTTATGTAAATAAGTTGTTTAAAGCTTCCTTCTCGTCCCACGGATGCTTTGCCAATTTTCCCGCGCCATCTGTAGTCCAGCTCCGAGTCCCAATAGCCATATTGGACCTTGAGGAATTGGGAGTTGGATTGGGAACGGGGTTTCCGTTGATACTGCGGGAAGTCGCCTAGCATACTGGCAATGGTTGGTGATGGCTCCTCCAGCTGTCCCTTAGCGGGCGTCATTTTACCTCCATCCTGTAGAAGCTAGTTCTCCACCTCCGCTTATTTTTTTTATCAATCGATAGGTATTGACAAGACCAATACATTTTAGTTAAATTGTGGGCGTTAGAGTGGGCGTGGCATAATCGCGTAACAAACTTCCCAATTCTCTATCTTTGATAATTTCCGAGATGTCTACGTTCAGTGGGCGTGGCAAACTCTTTTTGGGTCAATCGATAGGTATTGATGAGAACAATACATTTCATTTTATTCTAGCATCAAAGCTGTAGGAGCCACAGTTTTGGGCGGTTTGTGGTCGTTAGAGTGGGCGTGGCACTCTGCTGAAACAAACTTGGGCTGCGAAGTAGAGCTGTAAAAACATCGATAGTGCCCCTACTCGATGTTTTCGATAGTGATAGTCCAAACCATCGATATTTTCGATAGTATCAATCGAATTATTATTTAATTTTTTATTTTGTATTTTAAGCCTATTTGCTTTCAATTTTTTTAATTGCGAGGTATGAATACAGCTGCGACAAAAACCATACAATGTATTAAACTATTAAACACACATAAAAACAAATAGGTTAAAAATCTAAAATTTTTTGATTATAATAATTACTTATAATTTTTGTTTATACCCTTGCAGAGGGTATATTGATTTCAGTCAGAAGTTTGCAACGCAGTGAAGGAGACGTTTCCGACCCCATAAAGTATATATATTCTTGATCAGCATGACTAGACGAGTCGGTCTAGCCATGTCCGTCTGTCCGTCCGTTTCTACGCAAACTAGTATCTCAGTTTTAAAGCTATCGGGCTGAAACTTTCCCAAAAGTCTTATATCTTTTGCAGGTAGTATATAAGTCGGAACCAGCCGGATCGGACAACTATATCTTACAGCTCCCATGGGAATAATAGGAAAAACAAATAAAAAAAATTATATTTTTGGTGTTTTTTAGCATATAACCTCCTAAGCTTGGAAATAACATTTTTTAATTAGTTTTGAATTTCGAATTTAATTTTATCAAAATCGGAAGACCATATCATATAGCTGCCATAGGAACGGTCGTAAAATTGGTGGAAAAATAATATGAAACATATTATAGCTTCGGTGTTTTTCAACATATAACCTCCAACGCTTGGAAATAACATTTTTTAATTAGTTCTGAGTTTCGAATTTAATTTGATCAAAATCGGACGACTATATCATATAGCTACCATAGGAACGATCGGAAAATTGGTAGGAAAATAATATGAAACAAATTATAGCTTTGGTGTTTTTTGACATAGTATCTTATACTATTGGGAATATCATTTTTTGTGTTTTTAAATTTAATAATTATAGCTGCAAGGGTATATAAGCTTCGGCTTGCCGAAGCTAACTTTCTTTCTTGTTTTTATTGATTATAATCATAAGCGAAAACATGATTATAAATTAAAGTTAAGAACCAGTTAAGATAATGATTATAATGAAATTAACAAAAGAGAGATCATCCGTTCTTCGGGAATTACATGATATTGATATAGTTGATTATAAATTAAATAAAGTTAAGAACTACTTGAGATTATAATGAATATAATGAGATTAACAAAAGAGAGATCATCCGTTCCTCGGGAATTGTTGTTGATTACGAATTAAACAAAGAAAACGTTTGATAAAAAATAAAATAAAAAGTTTAGATAATCCATTCTTTGGAAAACTGCTCTTAATGACATTGTACCACAAAAAATTTAATCCAGCAGCCACTGATTTTTGTTAAGCTTTGGCTTCAAAGAAGAAGAAGAACCACGCTTCTGCAACTAGTGATGTTAAATAAACGCGATACATCGATGGTGGAAAAAAAATCGAGGTATCGCGCAGCCCAGTTACTATCGATACTATCGATATTACTATCGATGTTTTTACAGCTCTACTGCGAAGGAGTCTCAGGAATCTGCACGCCGAAATCTCAGCGTTCATTCGGACAGACGTACAGACTAACAGACGGACATGGCTAAATCGACTCGGCAGTGATCCTGTTTAAAAATATATACACTTTATGGGGTCGGCAACGCTTCCTTATGCCGGTTACATACTTTCCGACGAATCTAGTATACCCTTTTACTCTACGAGTAACGGGTATAAAAATCTGTGACTGTCGTCACTATGTAATTATGTTCCATAAATATATATATGATTTACTCAGATCGGCTAATTGCTTGTCATTTGGTTTTAATATATATAAAATTATTATTTTTATTTTATATAGAATTATGCACAAAAATTCCTTATCTAGTTGCATAGTTTTGGTCATTAAAGTGCATTGCAAGTCCTTGAGGAATAGCTTCGAATTCTCGGTTCTGATTTCCCATCCACAATACATTTTCAGGTTGCTGGCGTACTTCTCCGAATTTCATTGCCCATCTTGATTAAATATCAATGTTGCTCTCATTTTTGAAATTGGGGAGTATGCAGCAGCATAATATCACATTGTTTGAGCTTGTGATATGATTGTCAAGGCCCTTTCCGATTCTCCGGTTCTGTTACACGTCGACACTTGGTTAAATTGTAGTTGAAGGCTCGTTGTTCCGCGGAAAGAACTATTGGAAAGGGTTATGACTTTATAACCGTCGTGAAAAATCTAAATGCTTAGTCGGCCAGGACAACAACTGGGATCGGAGTTCCACATATTTTTCTTACATTGTCTTTTAATATTGGTGTCTCCTCCAGTTCGTTTTCAGCTTAACTGCATCTAAATTTGTGGATCGTGACATCGTTCTGGGCAGCCAACCTTTACGTCAAAAAGCCGGTACCTGTAATGGTATAGATATTTGTTGTTTAAGTAAAATCACAGTGATCGAACTACCTATATTCAACTAATGCAAATTGGTCTGTTAGGATCTTGAATCTTCTTTTCGGACAGATATGACTTTGGTTCAGAATTCGTTTACAATTTTGCATACAATGGTTTTTGTAGTGCCGAATAGTCTGGCAGAACTATCGCCCGAGGAGAAATGACTTTGATACAGAATTCGTTTACATTTTGAATACGACGGTTTTTGTGAACGACGAATAATCTGCCGATAGTTCTGTATTCCGAGGATTACCCAATCGAATAGAGCGCTGGGAATGGCTGGGCGAAACAAGGTTTTTTATGCTAGGCTTATAAAAACCCACTAGCTGCTGATATTATATTCGGTCAACGTGGCAGAATTCCTTGAAGAACTCATCGGAATATTGCTGCGCATCAGTCTCCCAAAATACTTAATTTCGCCTTCATCCTGAAAATGCAATAACAATAATAAATTATTTAGGGTATTCAATTGCGTTGCAAAAGTGTAAGCTTTGTAAGTTTGCCAGACGAGAATTGTGAACGCCCTCTATTTGAAAACATCGTTGCAGGATATTGACGTACAAAAGAAAGCTAACTTTTATATTTTTGTGAGAAGAAGGCTATGACCATGGCCTAGTTTCGACCTCCCTGGCTCTCTTCCTTGAGGGTTTTTTCTTCCATTGAAATTGTTATTCAATTATTTTGTTTTACAGAAGACGAATATTTTTCTTTTGCATTTAATACTCAAATTTGTTTCTTTCCTTTCACTGTCATTACCATGGATTTAAACCCAACTTTTCAGTATATTTTTAGTATTTTAGATAAAATTCCTACCCATTATTAACCCCCTATTTCTACACAAGTACAACAGATTTGTATACATAGGCTGGGGTGTTGTAGGCCTTGAAAAATATTTTGTATGGAAATTGGTGTTGGAACTGCTTACACTTTTAAACTTTTCAAACGCTTGCAACGCAATTGAATACCCTAATTGTTTCTTAGCTAAACCCTAGTACTCAGATCGGCTAAGAGTTTCACTAGTCGAAAAATCTTATTCTTTGTAGTGTGACCGAAGTTTTCAAAGTTCACCCGCAATGCATGTGGCATGGTCTTACTGTCAAGCAGCTGGGCTTGTTGCCAATCGGAAAACAAATCAATTGGAGCAATTTAAAACGGAAGAGTCTGCTGTTGCACAAAATAAAAATAAATGAAATGTTCAACGAACGTTTTTATTTATGTAAATTCCTTTTCGTCCCACGGATGCTTCGCCATCTTTCCCGCGCCATCTGTAGTCCAGCTCCTCTCCTTCAGCACTTCAACTATTCTGCGGGTTTGCCCCGTTGTGGTATTGCTTCCTGTCGGTCAAGTCCCACAGTAATGGGCAACAGCTTGGATTAGGCGTCCTTTTTCATATACCCTAACCTCCTTTAGCCGTTTTTGGTGTTTTTCTTTTTTAATTCCCCACCACTTCTGCACGAATACCGCCAAAGATTAAGTTTCTTATTCTTTGGGCCGCGGCTAACGGCGTTCATCGAAAATACACTCGCGAAATCTGGTATTTTTTCTGGAATTTCCTTAGCTCATCTGAGTACCGCGATGAAAAACAGACCCGACGAAAAGCTTTAGCCGCCTGTTTGCCTCTCGCTCACTCCTATGGTTAGCTCTCGGTTTTCGTCGATGTGAGTACTAGGCTTTACGTATGTCCAAGCACTCCTTCCCAACAGTTGCTCCTGCAGCAAAGTTGTCTATAATTTTGACAACCTGTGCACATATAATAATCCCGTAAAAATACTGTTCAGCGAAGTCATTTATCAATAACATGTTATTTGAATAAGCTGGCGTATTTTAATAACTCAAAACAGCTGTTGCAAACTCACTTGCAAATGGAAACAACTCTGCGTTGCACAAAACAGACCCGACGGAAAGCTTTAGCCGCCTGTTTGCCTCTCGCTCACTCCTATGGTTAGCTCTCGGTTTTCGTCGATGTGAGTACTAGGCTTTACGTATGTCCAAGCACTCCTTTGCAACAGTTGCTCCTGCAGCAAAGTTGTCTATAATTTTGACAACCTGTGCACATATAATAATCCCGTAAAAATACTGTTCAGCGATGTCATTTATCAATAACATGTTATTTGAATAAGCTGGCGTATTTTAATAACTCAAAACAGCTGTTGCAAACTCACTTGCAAATGGAAACAATTCTGCGTTGCACATCGAAATAATCCAAAAATACCGCTAGTAGCCTCTGCCCACAGCCGCTTAAATTCGGTGTTGCAATATTATGCGGATTCTTGTTCCCGTAAAAAATCGCTGTAGCGATCAGATGATCTGCATAAATAAACCGTATTCGAGGGGAGGGTTTTTTAAATGTCCCAAAAGAAATGCTACGGAAAGTATATATCATTATATCTCCCAAAATAAATGCTACCTAAAACATAAATCATTATATATCTTAAAAGTATTGTCTCTAAAGATAAATATTGTAACAAACTGATTTTTGTGGTCTGCTCGCTACGAGATTCGAGCGGCTAGCACAGTAGTTTGTGTTTCCGTCCCACCAAATTTATATGGACGTGACCGCCCAGAAGCTCAGTGAGAAAGCACAGAATTCACGGGTTCGTAGTGGGTTTATTGCGGGTATATTGTTACAAATGTCTTGGTAGCTTGGTTGGCCTTGATTCGTCACTTCTAACCTTCGGTACTTCCGACGCTCCTGGTTGTCTCGACGACCTCTCGCCTTGTTAACTCGGTGCTCCAGTCCTGTAGCTCCCTGAAGATCCTTGCTCCTCCCTAAAGATGCTCGCTCGCTGCTCGCCCTTGACGCGTTGACTTGGTGACTGCTGGTAACGACTCGGACTCGCGAGGGGGATCAGCCGTTCGGGCTTAGGGAAGCGTCACCGTTTTCAGACTAGGGTGAACAGAAGCTGCGCTCTCCAGGATCGCACCTTTCGACACAGCACAGCCCGTCCCTTGCTCTGTCCCGGATGGTCCCACTGGGGTTTCTGCTCAACCCGCGCGGACAGTCAAGGCGGAACGCCAGGAAGCTGCCTCGCGCTTTACTTCGCTTCTACGCCTAGTGTAAACGAACGTTCCACCCTAGCCTCACCCTTCTGCGTGTTGTCCGGGACGTTTCCGTGTGGCTCGCTCTGTGTTGCGCGGCTGTCGTGATGTGGTGGCTGACTTGCTGCTGACGCTATCTTGCGCACTGCTCCTGGCGGTGCTGGCTGCGCGGCTGGACGTAGCGTGGCTTTTGGTACTTGGGGTTCGGGCGTACGCTGCTCCGGAACCTCGCAAGTCGAAACCGTAGGGCTCTCCTGGACAACTCCACTCGAGACCGTACCGATCGACCGCTCTCCCTTCTGGCTTGTTGTACTTGGGGTTCGGACACGCCGCTCCGGGACCTCGCAAGTCGAAACCGTAGGACTCTCCTGGACAACTCCACTCGAGACCGTACCGATCGACCGCTCTCTCTTCTGGCTTGTTATACTCGTTATTCTCCAGGCGTAATGCCAGGACTTTGTTGATAGGGTTAAACCGACCGCCTTGACCTAGCCGCGTGATGCCCTCTGGACCTCAGCTAATACTCGGCTAACGCTTTTCGTCTGGTCTGTTTTTCAGCGCGGTACTCAGATGAGCTAAGGAAATACCAGAAAAAATACCAGATTTCTCGAGTGAATTTTCGATGAACGACGTTAGCCGCGGCCCAAAGAATAAGAAATTTAATCTTCGGCGGTGTTCGTGCAAAGGCGATGTGGAAACTAAAAATTAGAAATGGAAGGAAAACGCCAAAATCGGATACAGGAGGTCAGTGCAGATGAAAAAGGACGCCAAATCCCAGCTGTTGCCATTTATTGTGTATTTCACCGACAGGCAGCAATACCAGAAAAGGGGACAATTCGCAGAATAGTTGAGGTGCTGGAGGAGACTTCGCTCCCTACATGGACTTCGTGCCGGGCGCGTCCTCGCAAAGAAAGTAAGATCTGGCCAAAAGGATTTGGTTACGTTGTACTAACAGAAATATATTTTTAGCAGAACCACCAACGATCTCCGACGACCTGTCCATTAGGACTGCGGATATCACCGCCACTAGCTACTTGGCAGCTTATGCGGAGCTGGAGGACGAGCTGGCTTCTATAGAGAGGAGGAAAATAGGGCGCCCGCTAAGGATCAGTTGGGGAAGCCATAGCCAGCCATTGCCAGAATGCTGGGCGACTTTCTGCAGCATCAGCGGATCAACCCCGCTCTCAATCCAGCTCCCACTTCCTTAAGGTCTAATATGCCCATTGGGTCTTGGAGCTGGACTGCGGTGGCGCGGGAAAGATGGCAAAGCATCCGTGGGACGAGAAAGAAGCTTTAAACTACTAATTTACATAAATAAAAACATTCGTTGAACATTCCATTTATTTTTATTTAAATTTCTTTGTGTACCAGCAGACTCCTCCTTTTTAAATTTCTCCAATTGATTTCTTTTCCGTTTGGCAACAAGCCCAGCCGCTTAACAGTAAGACCGTGCTACATGCATTACGGGTGATCTTTGAAAACTTCGGTCACACTGCAAAGAATAAGATTTTTCGACTAGTGAAACTCTTAGCCGATCTGAGTACTAGGCTTTAATAGAAATACATCGATGGCAGCGTTCAGCAGAACAACACGATACCTGATCACCGGTGGAATTCTTACGATAGTTCTGCTGAACGCACAAAAAGAAGCGTAAAAATCGTACGATACCGAATTATTTTTGATACACCCTGAAGCCTAGTACTCACATGGACAAAAACCACGAGCAAACCATAGGAGTGAGCGAGAGGCTAGTACGCGGCTAACGCTTTTCGTCGGCTGTGTTTTTCAGCGCTGTACTCAGATGAGCTAAAGAAATACCAAAAAGATACCAGATTTAGCGAGTGAATTTCGATGAACGCCGTTAGCCGCGGTTAAAAATGGAAGAAAAACACCAAAAAAGCCTGCAGGCTGCGACCACCAGAACAATCTCTGACAAGCCCTCCATCGGGGAACCACAGGACTCCACCTCCACTAGCTACTTGCAGCTAAAGCGGTGATGGTGGACGCGCTGGGTTCTATAGGGAGGAGGAAAAAGTGGGCAAGAAAGGGCGCCTGTTCAAGGGCACCTGGAAGAGCCATTACCAGCCATTGACTTCCTGCAGCATTAGGCGGAATAACCCGGTTCCCAATCCGGCTGCTACTTCTTCAACGTCCAACATGCATGCCTATTGGGACTCGGAGCTGGACTGCAGATGACGCCGGAAAGATGGCGAAGCATTCGTGGGACAAAAAGGAAGCTTTATACTCTGCACCAGCAGACTCTTCTTTTTTAATCCCGTGGGACATGTCCTCTGGCCCAAGTGAAGAACAAGTGATATAAACAATTGTGTGGGATGTCCGCATTTTCACAAATGAAAATACAAATTAAAATTTTTCGAAGTACCACGGGACTTCACTTCAGATTCAGATTTTCAATTAAGGGACAATTATTGTTAGTATTTCTGTTTGTTTGTTTTGTTAGTTTGTTTTTCACGCTCGTCATCGCCTTTCTCAAACATGTGTCCGGGTCCTAGAAGTCCTTTCCCAACGCTCCTGAAAAAATGAGTTTTACTTGTTTATTTGTATATTTACTTTTTAGAGCTATGTATAAGTTAACTAAGTCAACCAGGCGACGGCAATAGCAGACATACTTAAGGCGAAAATGGTTGGGTCAGTAAACACAACTCAAAGAAAATCCTTGTCGAGTTCAATGAAACGCAACGTGATGCGTTCGAGCGACTTCGCAACATTTTGGCATCAGAAGATGTCGTACTTATGTACCCAGATTTTAAAAAGCTCTTTGACCTTACGACCGATGCTTCGGCTAGAGGCATTGGCGCGGTAATATCCCAAGAGGGTAGACCAATAACAATGATTTCCCGTACACTAAAACAGGCAGAGTTAAACTACGCCACTAATGAGAGAGAATTGTTAGCTATTGTTTGGGCTTTGGGAAAATTGCAGAATTTTCTGTATGGGTCCAGCGAATTTAAGATTTTCAATGATCACCAGCCGCCCACATTCGCGGTAGCTGACAAGAACACAAACGCCAAAATAAAAAGATGGAAGGCGTACATAGACCAAAACAATGCCAAAGTTTTTTACAAACCAGGCAAAGAAAATTTTGTTGCTGATGCCTTGTCCAGACAAAATCTTAACGCTCTGCAAGATGATCCTAAGTCGGACGCTGCAACCGTTCAGAGCGAAATCTCTCTGACCTACACAATCGAGGCTACCGACAAGCCACTAAACTGCTTTAGGAACCAGACTGGTCTTGAAGAAGCACGTTTCCCGTTAAATCGGAATCTGGTTATGTTTCGCAGCAAAACTCGTCATTTTATCAATTTCACAGACAAAGGCAGCATTTTAAAGTCTCTTAAAGAGCGCGTGAGCACAGACGTCGTTAACGCTGTGCACTGCGATCTGCCTACTTTAGCATGAGCTGATCTCCCACTTCCCAGCCACCCAATTTTGGTACTGCAAAAATTTCGTGCAAGATATAACTGATAATAATGATCAATTAGAGGTTATCACAACTGAGCACAAAAGACGCACAGAGCGGCACAGGAAAATGTGAAACAAGTCCTTCGCGACTATTATTTTCCTCTGGGTAAAACCCATCCCAAGTTGCACCGGCGAAATGTTGCACATTGATATCTTTTCAACCGATAAAAAACAATTCTTGACATGCATTGACAAGTTCTCTAAGTTTGGAGTCGTTCAATCGATTGAACTACAGTCGACATCACTGGTCCATTATTGCAGCTATTAAACTTTTTCCCCAAAAACAAAACAATATTTTGCGATAATGAAGCTGCCTTCAACTCAGAAACGATCACCTCCATGCTTAGGAATACCTATGGCATTGACGTTGTAAATGCGCCCCCCTTGCATAGCTCGTCGAATGGCCAAGTTGAACGCTTTCATAGCACCTTGGCAGAAATCGTTTAAAACTGGACAAGAAAGTCAATGATATGGTAGATCTAATACTGAGGGCTACGGTAGAGTATAACAGGACCATACACTCAGTTACTCGTGAAAAACCAATTGAGATTGTTCATGCTGGGCACAATGTGTATCTTGCAGACATCAAAGAAAGGTTGGTAAAAGCTCAAGAAGATAATATCAAAAGATGTATCAACTCCAGACAGAACCGTACCTTTGAGGTAGGAGAAAAGGTATCCCAAAAAAACAATAAGAGGTTAGGGAACAAATTTACCCCGTTATGCTCAGAACAAAAAGTGGAATCAGACCTCGGAACGGCTGTGCTCATTAAGGGGGGGTTTGGTCCACAAGGACAACCTCAAATAGGTGGTCTTCTACAATTAGTTAGTAAGTCGATTTAAGAAAGTTTAAACACCCTATCTTACGCTATGCTTGGATTTCAGGTTTGCCCTCACATTGCTAATCTCCCTGGCAGCGGCCAAAGCACGGATCACCGACTTTTCGCACGCTGACTACATCCCGGTACTAGACGGTGACGGTAGACTATTCTTGATCACGCTGATTTGAAGTAACTAATTATAAGAAAACACACAATTTATTTATGTGTGTGTGTGATTTCCTGGAAGCGTCACACTATTTCGTCAGAATCCAGATTTCACGTGTTGTCTCTTGTATTCGTCCTGTGGTCCTCCCACAGCATGTATAATGTGCTCGGCGCAATACTACACTTCCCACCAACTCACAAACCAAGTTAAATACACTTTATGTATAGTTTTAGATATATATTTTAAGTTCCTTGGATCACGTCTTGTCACTTCAAAATTATGCGGAATAAGTGAGAGCTGAACCAGCTCATCGGAACCAAAACGATATTAGTGTTACCAGTAGTGAGCAGAATACTTTTGCTTATACGATATTCTTATCGATATGAAGTAATGTCATATTCCAACACACCTCCTCAAAAGTCTGATGCTCATGATTTATAAATTTAAAGTTTAATAAAAAATTTGAAATTTGAATTGGCAAGGCAAGATATTTCTGGGAGTGCACATTGACCCAACATTTGTTGCTTGAATTGGGGAAACCCAGTAAAACCCAATTAGGTCAATCTTAAAATTAACACAAAGAAAAATGAATATTCAAAATGACAAAATGATGTGATTAACATACAAAACAATTAAAGGCAATTTCAGGAAGTAATATTATAAATTTGAAAATTATAAAGTAATTAGGAATATCTTCTGTTTCCAAACTTAATAACTAGAAAATATAACAGATTTTAATTTCAATAACATAGTTTCAAAAAATTATTCTTTTAAATGATAAATTAAATTATGTCTTCAACTTTTATGTAAGTATATAAAAAAAAATTGTCGTCTGCATCCATCAATCGGTTAAGCCAAGACGCTGTCTTAGTTGTGCGAAGCGTGGAGCTGGGAGTGGTTTTGTTAATATATCCGCCAGTTGATGATCTGTAGAAATATACTCAAGTTTTATTAGTTTATTTTCAACTTGTTCCCGTGAAAAATGATATTTGATGTCTATATGTTTTGAACTTTTGTGGCAAGAGGGGTTGTTGGCGATACTAATACAGCCCTGATTATCTTCAAAAATTGTAATAGGTTGCTTTAGATTTATGTTCAAACTTTCTAGTAAAGATTTTAACCATAGGGCTTCCCTTACAGCCTCAAACAATGCCATATATTCGGCTTCGGTTGATGATGCTGCCACTGAATTCTGTTTTCTAGTACTCCAACAAATCAGGTTTGTTTTAAACATCTTGAAAAGATATCCTGTTGTACTTCTCCTATCCAATTGACTTCCACCCCAATCTGAATCTACATATCCAACAAAGAAGTCGTCATTCTTCTCAGTTTTAGTGAATGTTAGCTTAAAATCAATAGTACCTTTCAGATATCTTAATACCCTTTTTAAGCATAGCCAAAGCTCTTTATTATTTTTCTGACTATACCGACTCAAAAGATTTACAGATATACTGAGATCTGGCCTTGTACATAGCATTACATACATAAGGCATCCAATCAAACTTTGACAAGGAGAATCGTCTCTTTCATCAGAGTCTAATAAATCAAAGTTCAGTTTACTTGGAAGTGGTGAATTTACAGAATTACATTGCTCCATTTTAAATTTTAATAAAATATTTTTAATATAAGCTGATTGGCTTAATTCCACTTTACTTTCTTTTGTGTCCATTTTAATACCAATAAAATACTTAATTTCCATTAAATCTGTCATTTGAAACTTGCTCATTAAATATGACTTAAATTTATTCATTGTTAAAATGTTTTCTGTACAAATAACCAAGTCATCTACGTATAACAAAACATTTATATTTTTTAAAATAGTCCCTTTATCCAAAATATATATACATCTATCTACA